CCTTAATCTAAAATGGCTCTGGGCTTTCCTGTCACCAGCTCCCAAGGTCATTCTTGGCATGGCCAGGTTTGGGAGCCACTGTTTTAGACATGGAGCCCAAAGCCTGGGCTCCTTAGAAAGTCCCTTGCCAGAGCCAGGTGGACCTCTATGAGTTCAAGGCCAGCCTGGTCTACATAGGAAGTTCTAGGCTAGACAAGGCCACATAGTGAGACCCTGTCTCAACAAAAAAAAACTAACAAACAGAAAGTCCTTGCTAGTCTGTGGGACAGAGTAATATATTTATTGTTCTGCCCACATTTCAAGGACAGGCCAGGGACTGATGTGAACTCTGGTGTCCTTGAAAAGTGGTCCCCTGTAGTTGGATTCATTCCCATGAGAACACAGGGTGGGAAAACCCAAGGACCCTGGCTCTTGCAGGTGAAGAGGAAGGGGTGTAGCCAGATGGGCAGGGTGTGACCTGATGGTACCACATCTGGGCAGTCTTAGTCCCAGCTCCCCAGATGTTGGAGAAGAGCTCCAAGACAGGCACACTGTCACTGATGTGGTCTAGCTTCCGAAGATGCCCACTCTCTAGGATCTCCACGATCTTCTCAGCCATCCGCTTGCCAATCCCTGGGATGCCGCAGGCCTCCTGGGGACAGGTGTACAGAGGAGGAGTCAGAAGCCAGCAACGGAAGCCAGTGCAAAGGGCCCGGTTCCCTCAGCAGAGTATCTGCCCAAAAGCCAGCCCAGCAACCATATAGGACTTGTCCTTTGGTTTCCAGAGACCAGCAATAAGTAGAGAAAATGGCCAGGCGTGGTAGTGCATGCCTTCAATCCCAGAACTCCTGGAGGCAGAGGTGCATGCAGGCAGATCTCTAAGTTCCAAACCAGTCACGGCTGGAACACTGACTGGGGGCTACTGTAATACACTGAATATACCATTCTGTGCTACAGAGACCATCTTTCTTTCTTTCTTTTTTTTTTTCTTTTTCTTTTTTTTTTTCTTTTTTGGTTTGTCAAGAAAGGGTTTCTCTGTGTAGCTTTGGAGCCTATCCTGGCACTCGCTCTGGAGACCAGGCTGGCCTCAAACTCACAGAGATCCGCCTGCCTCTGCCTCCCGAGTGCTGGGATTAAAGGCGTGCGCCATCAATGCCTGGCCAGATACCATCTTTCAACATTACAAAAACATTGTGAATGGGTTACTGTGCTTAATTTCTTTTAAGCGATTGGAAAACTGACAAAGAATAACTAATCCATAGAATCCACAACTAATGGACTTTAAACTCCTTTTTTGTTTGTTTTTGTTTTTCTAGACAGGGTTTCTCAGTGTATCTCTGGCTGTCTTGAAGTTCACTCTGTAGACCAGGCTAGCCTCAAACTCACAGAGATCCTCTTGCCTCAGTCTCCCAAGTGCTGGGATTAAAGGTGTACACCACCACCACCCAACTAAACTTATTATATAAAAACACTTGGAAGTAGAGGGGACAGTGTAATAAACCTCTAGGCACCCATTTTCCAGTCCTAACAATTTTGCTGGTCTGTTTTCAACTACCTTACTTGTTTTTTTATCAGTGTGTCTCTGTGTAAATACCAGTCATTATAAAAACTTAACCACTAAATTTGATGTCCATTGCCATTAAACATTAGCTAATAAAGAAGAGACCTCTTCCCCAATCTCCAAGTACCTGGTAGGAGCTGACAGGCTTGTGGAAGCTCTTAAGGGCATTGATGGCCTTGGCATAGCCCAGGGCCCTCCACTTGTCTCCCTGGACACTGTAGGCTTTAGCCAGCACCTCTAGCTTCTCTGTGATGTGCTGGTTATAATTAGTTGCCTTCTGGCTTGAGGGCTGTGCACAGACCCACTTCTCCAGGGCTTCTGGAACTGGGTCAGGCCCACCATCTTCCTCAAGAGGAGCCGGGTAGTGCCCACTGATCAAGGCTTCCAGATCTGCTGAGCTAACCTGGGGCCCTTCCTCATCACTGGTTTCATCATCGGAGCCAAGCTGAAAATAGAAGAAACAATAAGTCAGTGTCCTCCTCAAAAGTGAGGTTGTGTTTGGTGGGCAAGTGTCTCCTACTTGGACTCAAGGATGAGGCTGCAACCAGTGCACTGGGCGTGTGCCTTGTCTTCAGTGTAGGGCCCAGTGCTATATGGCAGACATGGCTTGGTAAATGCAGAAGTGAGGGATGCTGGGTAGAGTGGAACAGATCAAGGGTCTCACCAAGAACTCTCTGTGTAAGAACCAGTGCTCACTTCTGTGCTCAGGGCTCTCAGCTGGGAGCATCTCACCTGGGCTGGGATTCTTGGTGCCTTTTCTGCCTTTGCAGGAGGAGATGCAGCTCTGGTGTGAGGAGGGGAAGGAGAGAGAGTTGTCCTGGATACAGCCTCCTGGGTGCTTTCATCTGCCTTGTTGGGCTGTGGTTGGTCCAAGGAACTAGAGGGTAGGGGAGGTCACAGGCAATTAGGGTACCAAAAGTCTCACCTGTCTCCGCTCCCAATCTTTCCCTCTACTGAAACCTTTCCACATATGTATGATTTTAAAAGTAGGAGTTGTTTTTTTTAACAACTCAAGATGGAAACTCAAGATGGTATCAACAGACACTTGAGAAAGGCTAGGGGCAGCCCACCTCTTGGGGATGCAGACACTGAATCCAGCCGTGTCAATCAGCCGTCTCTCCTGCAGGCACAAGCTCAGCCACGTTGACTTCACCAGCTGAGCACTGGGGGGTAGCTGAGGCAGTCTAAGGAGCCGGAGAGCTCGCTCACAGTCCATATTTTCATCTACCACAATGTGAGTGACTCCTGGGGCCTGGGCAGAGCATATCTGGCCACCATGATGGATAATCTGCTTCTCAAAGAGCTCTGCCCGGGCTCGTCCAATGCCAGTGGGTATAATGTGAGCCCTCAGGGAACTCAGCCATTCTGTAGAGAGGATATCCAAATGCCTATTATCATAACATTTATTATTATTATTTTATTACCATCACTATTATTTAAGACAGGGTTTCATGTAGCCCAGGCTGCCCTCAAACTCATTATGTACCAGAGGATAACCTGGAACTCCTGATTCTCCTGCCTCTACCTCCAAGTGCTGGGATTACAGATGCATGTACATCACTGTAATAAAGCAGCTGGAAAACTTTTAGATATAGTCACAATGAACGGTTTGAAATCACCTCCCTTCAAAGTAATCATTTTCCTGCCACCCAGAGATTAAAATGCCTTTAAAGAATTCTACCACAAGCACAGCAAATTCTTCAAGGGCCATCACTTGAATGCAAGGGGTTAGGATTTGTGTCCTGTTCCTAATGCAAACTAGAGCAGTGCCTGGTATATCACAGACCATCTATTAGTATTTGTGGCTGAATAAATGAAGCCTTGCTTTGAACACAGCTCAAAAATCATTTCAGCACCTATTTTTTTTTCCAGGAAAGCACACATTTCTTGCCATTACAAGTTCCTTGCCCTCAGTCTAGAAGACTTGACTGACGCTCCCAACCCCTTAAAATCTCTGCCATCTACGTAACAATTTTGGTGGCAAAACAACTTAGAACAAGCCTGGGGACTCAGGGGGTTTTGTTTGCTCCTGGCGCTGCCTCTAGGACAACAAAGGGCCACTTCTTGAGGAATCAGGAAACATTTTCTCACTGAGGTCTTGATAACACAGCAAATAGCCTAGCAAAGACAAACTACATCGGTGGCACACCTTTAATCCCAGCACGCAGGAGGCAGAGGCCAGCCTGGTCTACAGACTAAGTTCCAGGACAACCAGAGCTACACTGAGAAAGCAAGCCTGTCTTGAAGAACAAACACACAAAGAGAAAGCACCAGGTGCGAGTGGTGAGCCCAGCACCTGGGAGGTTGAGACAGGAGGATGGGGAGCTTAAGGTCATTCTCAGCTATAAGGCAAGATCAAGGTTACAGTGAGACTCTAAACAAGAGAAGAAGACAGACACCAAAGCAAAAGCAAGGGAGGTAGAAAGAGACCTCAGCCCTCCACAGGTAAGGCCACTTCCATTATCTGACTCCGGATGAAAACAACAGCAAGTCAAAGGGTCAAGTGTGAGTCATGAGTTCTGGGGGTGGGCCAGCTCACCTCCAGCTTCTCCCACCTCCTGTTTGGGAATCTTTGCAAGTGCTTTTGATGGTGGATCTGCATGAATTTTCTTTCGCTTGGGAAAAGCCTTCAAGATGCCCTGGGGGTTCATTGCCTGGAAGGCTGGCTGGCTGCTGGATCCTTGCCTTTCTGTTTAAGGACAGATGTCATGCAGAAATCCAAGACTGAGAGTCGCCCTAGACCCTTTGGCCTACAGAGGCAGGCTTTGGGAGCAAGAGACCCCTTCTCAGAGGTCTCAGAAACCCCAGCTAAACACACCAGCCTTTCAGCGTTGAGTCAGGGAAAGGCTGGGACTACGAAAGTCAGAAAGTCGGGGGTGGCGGTGGCTTTTGACTCAAGGGAAACAATACTGGAAAGAGAGGGGTGCTCTGCAGATCCAGTGCAGAGTCGGCCTCTGCTTCCAAGAGCCTTTTCCAAAATGATAAGGGGCTGGGAAGCAGGACTACATCACCAGTGAAGTCTTCATCTCCCCAGAAAAGTGGGGTCCGGAGGACTCGTGCAGTGCACACAAACCTCACGTCCTTTGCAGAGGAAAACTTCAGTGAAAGTTGCAGACGGGCCCTGCACCTGCCCCTGTCGCAGCCTCGTGGGGTGGGGTGGGGTGGGGTGTTGAGCCCCGTGGCTGAGCTGCAGGGAAGTGGGGTGCAGCCGCAGCAGGTGTAAGGTGCCCTCACAGCTGGGGGTGCGCAGGACCGGAGCAGCTGTGCCCCGGGCACTGCGTGTGCAGCTGGCGTGAACCAGGGACTCCCAGCTGGGGTCACAAGAGGGCTGGTGCTGGGACCCTAAAAGCCCTGGGCGCCCCCCACCCGCCCGAGCCCCGGAGAGAAATAAACTCACCATGGGAGCCAATGGAAACGGATCGGGGAGGGGGGTGGGGTTGAAAAGTAAATTTCCAGAATACCTTCCGGGTCATCCGGAAGTGACCCTCGGCCCAGCAGTTGCCATGGAAGTGGCCGGGCGCGTTGCTGGGCGGAGGGAAGATGGCGGTGACTAGCTGGCTGGAGAGCTTGCGGGCTGCCGAGAAGACGGCGCTGCTGCAGGACGGTAACTCGACCCTCTCGTCCTCTCCCGCAGGGCGGGCCTCAGCCTGGGTGGGCAGAGCTCAGCCACGCTAGCTTCCTGCTCCTGAGAGGAGGAAACTGAGGCACAGGGAGCTGGCTGGACTGGAACCCAAGTCTCTGGCCGCCCACCTCCCGTTTTCCTTACAGCATCCCGCCCCGCTCAGAGTTTTGTTGGTAGTTCCCAATGATTCATTTTACACTCATCATCGTCCCTCGAGGCTGTACCAAGGGGCAGATTTCCCACCCCATATTTATTTATTCATTCATTCATTTATTTTTACTGAAATCCAGGAAGGTTTTAGACCAGCCCCATGTTTTGCAAATAGTCAGGTATAACTGTATCGTCTTGTGGGACCCCATGCACCCCAGTTTGGGGGTCCTGTTGATGATGGTGGCAGCCCGGTGGCAGAGAATGGAGGGACACCGGGGTTTTAGATCAACCCTGCCATCGATGCACCTATTAGTTTGTTAGAACCCCGTTTTCTTCAACTATAAATGAAGCGGGTGGGCTGCCATTGTTATTTCAGAGGTCCTTTCCAACTGTGTTTTGTTAAGAGTGGGTTTCTAAATGTTCTCTGATCGTTAGGGGAGATAGAAAAGGCCAAAGTCTAAGTGACAAGGAACTGGACTTTGAGATGTCAGCTTTTCTCCATCCTACAATTGACCAATCTTCAAACCTCTACTTCAGAGGTCTTTTCTGGACCACTTAGCAGCCAGGGTGAATTAGATCTGAATTCCCTTTAAAGCTTGGCAGCTGGGGACTTAATATCCACAGGTAGCTGCCAATCAAAGAAGCCTGAAGTTTATTGTGTGAAGTTTACTGTGTGCCAAATTCTGTGCTAGAGCAGATAGAAAAACAAACAAACAAAAAATTTATGGGCTGTGATCTTCTAGGAGTTCACAAAATGATCAAGGAAAAGACATGTAAGTAAATAGCAGCTTGTGTTAAATAGTGGTTGGGATCTTAGCAGGAGATTGCAGCCCATGCCTGTCATCTCTGCACTCGGGGGGCTAAGGCAGGAGGCTGGGGGTGGGGGTGTTGAGATAACTGTGTGAAATGCTAAAAGCATGGAGGTGAAAATAATTTTCTCTTTGGATAATCACCAAACAGAAGAGGTGGTATTTCCAACCCCTAAAGAATCATTAACAGGTATTTGATAAGTGGGAATGGAAGAACGGTCGAATGTAGAGGCAAGGAAGTGTGAGAGTGTATAGCTGGCTAAGTGTTATGAAAACAGCCACCACTGAGCCTTTCAGGCACTGCCTGCAGACAGAGTAAATGAGTCTCTTGTCTCAAAAGGCTGTAGGAGGTAGGAAATGGTAGAAAATGAAGGTAAGTTGGGACATGCTGTGCTCTCACAGGGTACTGATTTTGGACATTACTTAACAGGATAGTGGTCTTCTTGTTTGTATTTTGAGACAGGGTCTCACTATGTGGTCCTGACTGGCCTAAAATGTGCTGTGTAGACCAGGCTGGCCTTGAAGGCATAGAGATCCTCCTGCCTCTGCCCCCTAATTTTAGGATAAAGGGCATGTACCGCTGTGACTGCTCTGGTTTTTATTGTGATTAAATCATGACCATTTTTAGGTGCACAGTTAGGTGTCATTAATTTTATATTCACATTGTGTTGCAACTGTTACCATCTCCAAAACTTGTCATTTGCAAAACCAACACTCTCTTCTCTCCAGCCCCTAGCAACCACCATTCTACTTTGGGTTTCAGTTCGTTTGAATAATCTAAGAGCCTCGTGTAAGTGGAATCAAATAGCATTTGATTTAATTATTTCACACAGCAGAAGGTTTTTAAGGTTATCCATGTTATCACGTGTGCCGAATTTCCTTTTTATATTTTATGTGTGCTTGTGTGGAGGCCAGAGGTCAATCTTGGGTTTCCTTCTTCCTCACAGTTGCCCACAATGGTTTGTGGGTTTATTTTGTTCGTTTGTTTTGACATTTATATGTGTGTATGTGTACACCTGCCATAGCATGTATGTGGAGATCAGAGCACAGCTTGTGGGAAATGGTTCTTTCCCTCCACTGTCTGAGTTCTAGGATCAATCAGGTTGTCAGGGTCGGTGACAAGCACTTTCACCAGCTCAACCGTCTTGCTGGTCTCCATCTCGTCTCACTGGGACCTAGGGCTTGCAGATTAGGCTGGGGTGGCTGTTGAGCGAGCCCCAGGATCCTTCTGTCTCCAGCTTCCCAGTCACGGGATTGTATGCACATGTCACTGCCCCAGACTTTGTGTGTGAATGCTGGAGATCAAATCCAGGTCCTCATGCTTGAGAGGCCAGCTGACTGTACCCGCCTGATGCCAGCTTCTGTTCTAAAGCTGTCCTACTGTGTGTGCATACTCTCCCCCAAGTGTTCATCCGTCTGCCTTTTGATTGGTGTGAGTAATGCTGCTTTGAACATGAATATTCAAGTGCGTGCTGAAGTCTGCTTTTGTTGTTCTTGGTCATAGGGCAGTATGGGAGGCGGGCTATGGTGTATTAGTGTTGGTGCTTGTATGTAAGTGTGCAGGAGCACACACCCATGTGCACGTCCACGGAGGCCAGAGCAGAATGTCAGGTGTGTGAAGGCCAGGTTTCACTGCAGTCCTATTAGTCTCTGCCTCCCAACGCTGGGGTTCAGGCATGCACAACCATACCCCTCTATTTGTGTAGGGCGCTAGGGTTCAAACTCAGTTCCTTATGCCTGCAGCACAAGCACTCTTACCTGTGAAGCATTCAGATTGTTAAGGGGGTTGATTATTATTGTTATTATTGATATTGTTGATTGATTGTTGAGGTCTGCCAAGAGGCCTTGCAAATTTTGGGGTAAGTTGCCCTGAAATCCAAATTAGGAATGACTCAAGGAAACTGTGTCCTAGAGGAGTGAGTTAAACAGGAAAAAGCCACCTTAGGGCTCTTATTTTTGAAGTTGATGGAAGGACGTGTCCACTGGGTGTTAAAACCCCTTTGTGAGTCCTCCTGAGGCAGCGCCCAGTGGCTACTTACCTGCCTAGGAAAAAAAAGACATTACACAGCCCTCCCCTTGAGCAAGTGCTTGTGGGCTAAGAGACTCCCATGGGTTCTTTTATCCTTTTACTGGATGGTACATCACTGTTGCTCATTCTTTCAGTCAGCATTTGAGTTCCTGCTACATACCAGGTACCGTGGCTGATCTCAGGGAAACTATGGACACTCCCCTCCCCCAAACCAATAGAAGAGACAAGCAATAACCAAGAGTCACATAAGAGATGTAAAAACCATAAACCAAGCATGTGTGAGGAAGAGCCATGATGATAGCATTCCAGGCTCTATGCTGGGAATGGCCTAGAGATGTGTAGATGAAGGCGGGGTGCCAGTGTGGCTGGAAGGGCCGGTCAGGAAACCCAGCTCACATCAGAGCCTGTAGCCCTGGATGTAGGAAGCGGGGAGAGAAAGACTATGATGTCATTTCTATCAGATGCTTGTAGCACTATCCCAGGATGGGGTAAGTGCTCTGCTGTGGGGTAGACTCAAACGCAGGGGGCACAGAGGAGGAAGTGACTCATCGGCACAGTGGCCGCCAGTGATGGGGAAGGGACACTTGCAGTGGAAGTGTCCTTTGAACTAGGTTTTGAAGAGGGAGGAAAGTTCTGCAGTTGAAAAGAGACCTGGCTTTTTTGGTGGTGGAAGCGGCATGGCAAACGCGTTGAGAGAAGGGAAGGGAGCCTGGGAAGCGCGATGGTGGCCATTGGTTGACAGGAAGCCCGGGAGGCTCTGGGCAGGTTCTCCAGCTGTTGTTTGGGCTCAGTCTGCAAGGGCAGCTTTGCGGTAAAGTGCTCTCTCTCTGCTCTGTGTGTAGGGAAGAGGATGGTGCACTATTTGTTCCCGGATGGGAAGGAAATGGCGGAAGAATACGATGAGAAGACGAGTGAACTCCTTGGTAAGTGTGGTGCTCCCCAAGGGTCCTCAGCTGCTCCTGGCGCTGATCAAACGAGGCCCAGTTGAAAGCTCCTGGCCTTGGGCTTGAGCAGGGAGCTCAGCATGCAGTGTGGTAGGGAGATGGAGGCCCTTGGGAGCAAGACTGCTCTGAGAACAGTGTGAACCTGAAAAGCAGAGCGCAGTCCTTTGCCCAGTGCAGCTCAATGAGAGGGTAAATGAGCCTCTCAGTCAGGAGTAGGGTTCTAAGGAAAAGCACATCACAGAGGAGGCTGGGTAGAAGGGAGTGGTGGTAAAAGCAAGGCTTGCACTTTTTGCTTGCTTGTTCTGTTGCTTCCTGAAGCCACACCAAGGGCAAGTGTCAGATGTGGCAGCTTCTGGCCTTGCCTCCTAGATGATACCATTAAATATGACCCTCATCCTGAAGAATGACATGAACCAGGTAGGAATGGCAATTTTGCCGTTGCTTTTGTGCCCACAGGTCCCCCTCCTTCAGAACAAGCTCATGAATAGGAGTTCCAGCTCGGATTTCTGGGGATTGATTTGTCAGTTATCTGTTCCTGGGAAGCACATCGGCATTAACTGACTTCCCAGAGTTAGGTGACTGGCCCTGTGACCCACGGCCCAAAGCTGTCCGCCATGGGAGCTGGTCTCTTTATTAAGTTGCATCTGAAATGCTAAGACCAATGATGGAATCACAGGCTGAGTTATTTTCTTATCTTTATTCCCGACTTTCATTTCTTCCTGGGTCTGATCGACAGGTAGTATTGGTGAGGGAATTTCTTTTTCCCTTTTCCTGACAGCTCATAAATGTCTCGAACTGACAACATTGGTTATACTGGTTTGCATATTCTCTCAGTCTCCAGTCTTAAAGTGTGTGTGTCCTGCGCATGCTCAGTTGCAGTGAAGTGTTGATCCCCTCTTATTATGAGCTGCATGGGCTCTAGTCCCAATTGGTTTAGTCTGGAGCTATTAAAAATCTTGATGTGTTTAGCATATGACACTGATTCGTTGGAAACCAATACAGTAGTAATATCCTCACAATGCATTGTAATTTATAGTGCTCCCAGGGGGTGACAGCCTTGGAATGTCTAACAGGGGAGAACTTATAAAAGCAGAGGCCACGTGAGCTAACCACTACCGTCACCCTGAGTCCAGCCACAGCTCCTGCCCAGCCCATCCTGTCACTTCTTTTCTCCACACAGCAAATAAAGCAGGTAGAGCTATGGAGGCTATAAAAATAGACAGACAACCCAACCCCTTTGCCATGCCTGAGTATGATATTAAAATTATGAACAAGGCCAGGTTCCTTTCTGCAGTGCTCTGTGCTCCTCTCTTCCATTTCTGGTGGTAGCAGGTCGGGCTAGACCAAGGCCTTCAAACTTCCTTTGTTTAACAGCAAGAATGGAGGAGGGAACGTAGTTCACCATTTGGCTGGTTTACCTAATAATGACATTAACACACTAACTGGGCATGATTCCAGGGGCTTTACTTGAATTACTTCATGTAAGCGTCTTCATTAAAGCCCCACGACATAGGATCTGTTGTCCCCATTTTACAGTTGAAGGAGTAAGCTCAGAGACGTTAACACCATGTTGAAAATCACAAAGCTGGGAGGTATCTGAGCCAGACAGAAGCTTGGCTCCATCCCAGGAAGTGTTTGAACCTCAGTGTGCAGTGGCATACTGTTAGAGCTAAGAACATCAAAATCCTGTTCACTTTGTTTTGTTGTTTTCTCAAGCCATGGTCATCCTATGTAGCCTGGAACTCACTGTGTAGCCCAGGCTGAGTAATCCTACATCTAAGCCTCTGTAGAGCTGGGATTAAAGGTGTGTGCCACCAAATTCTAAGACCCATTTCTTATTTTTTATCTCCCCCAACCTCCGAGCCAGCGGCCCTTGCAAAGTACTGTCCAAATCTGGGTTTTTTTGAGACAGGATCCCTGTACATTGCCTAGGCTGGCCTCAAAACTTTTGAGGCTCATATGGCCCTCTGGCCTTCAGGTCCTGAGTAGCTGGGACTGAGCACATGCCACCCGTGCCTGGTTATTAGTGTAAATGTTGTAAATAGAATCTCAGGACCAGAACTGGCTTTTCATACTATGCAGTGGGAGGTGGATATGGTTTTGGCGGCAGTAAGAGAAATGGTTTCCATTTTTCCCTAGCTAATACACAAATTTGATAATTGGTCAAACAGGTTTTCTGCTAGAAAAAAAAAAGCTCAGAGAGTAATTTACAGAGGAAGAATTGCCAGTAGGTGTACATCTGTCTGGGACAGTCCCTCCAGTCGGTGTTAATAAGCATGTTCGTGTCATCTTTTTTTCTACCCTCTCGGGGCTATTCATCCCCACCCCCCACAACGAACGCTGTATGTATTCATAGAGAAAAAGCTGAAGGGCCTTGTAACAATGATCGGAACATCAAACCAACCCCCAGAAGAACACAGCGTGTCCAGGGGGCCGAGGCTGAAGGGCAGACCGTCCCCCAGCGATTACATTTGGATTACCTCTTAATCTGCTTTGGTATTTGACCGCCAGCCTAACCACCACAGGCCGCATTTGGAGGATATTGAGCACTTTCATCCCCAGGCCCTTCAGCGGCTTTATAAATGGTCCACTCGATTCCCTCAGCCTCCTCAGGGATGGGCCACGGCAGCTGTTTAATAGCCACATAGCAATGTTGCAGTGTTTTAGGGCAGAAAAGAAGAATCCTGCCTCCAGTGTAAGCTGCAGGGAGTATTTAGGAAGGGGATGTAATTATCCGTATTGGAAGTGGGCCAGGCCTTGGAGCTTTGGGGAAAGAGGCCTTTAGGACCTCCACTTTCCAGCCCACCTGAAAGATGGGGCTGCATCAGCCTGCTTCCTGCTGACTTGGGAAAAGGCCCCAGGCACTGCCTCCTTCATACATCGCCCCTCAGACCCTTTACAGGGTCATTGAAGGCTCCTTTCCAAAGACTGACCCTGACTCAGCCGGGAAGAGAGACAGTGTCCCAGGGAGCTGCCTTTCGCACACCAGTTTGGGTTTAACATATAATCAAATCAGAGTGACAGCAGGTGGAAACTGTTGCCGCAGGAGCTGTCCTTGAGTACAGGAACAAAGGCTACACTAGAAAGCCAAGATTGCGTTTCTGCATGTGCGTACTCATGGCCACATGCATGGGGAAAGTAAGGGCTCCAAAATGTTTCATGGATCTTGCCTGTTGAAAGGCTGGAAAGAGCACTTCTGTATTACATTCTAAGAGTATAATTCCCCAAGGTGAGAGAGAAAGAGGGAGGGAGGAAAGGAGGGAGGGAGAGAGAGAGATGGGGGGGAGGGAGCGCTAAGAGTGGCAAGTTCCCATGACCCTAAGTGGCACTGAGTTGAGAAATAAGGAAACCAGAAGTGTTGTACTTTCCCTTCTAGGGCAGGTTTCTGTGGAAAACTGAGCTGGCATCTAGCAGTCGCTCTTGTCCCGAGGAACCATACTGATGGTGTCCCTAGGTCAAGCAGTTTGACAGAGCACATGATCACAGGGCCATCTTACTTCGCTGGCCCAACTAGGTAGTAATTCATCATATTTCCCCTACAGATAACCAAACCTGGACTTTGAAGACTACAGTATAAGAATAGAAACACAACCTGGGCATGGTGGCACACCTTTAATCCCAGAACTCAGAAGGCAGAGGCAGGAGGATCTCTGTGAGCTTGAGACCAGCCTGGTCTACAGAGTGTGTTCTGGAACAATTGGAACTACATAGAGAGACTCTGTCTCAAAACAAACAAAGGAAAAAAAAAAGGAAAGGAAGTGCTGAAGAAAGCTTTTAGGATATCACATCTGTTCAGAACACCTGGAGACTGTAGTTTACCTCTTTATTGATGATTGAGTTCTGAATGTGGGGCTATAAGACCTGAGTTCTCTTTGTTTTGTTTTAAGACAGGATTTTGGTATCTAGCCCAAGATAGCCTATAGCCTCCGTCCTACCAGCCCTCTAAGTATGTGGCACCTGAGTTTTAACTGTGCCTTTTGCAAATGGATCTCACTATTCCTCAGTAATTCTTTACACTCCATACCCTGGAAAATAAAGGCAAGGGTTAAAAGTAAGCAGATGGGGAAGAAATGCTTTCTCCTTGATAAATAGAGGTGTTAGACTAGATGTTTCCTAAGTGAACTTGCCCTCACGCCTGTGATGATTGTGCTTGCCATGGGGGCCCAGAAGTGCTCATTTGCTCCCAATACTAAGTGGTCTCAGCTAGGCACAGTGACACACACCGTTAATCCCAGCACTTGCAGGGCAGAGGCAGGTGGATCTCTGTGAGTTCATGGCCAGCCTGGTCTCCAGAGTGAGTTCTAGGACTGTCAGAGCTACACAGTAAGTAAGACCCCGCCTGGAAATAAAACAAGCTGGTGTTGGTGGCGCACACCTTTAATCCCAGCCCTTGGGAGGCAGAGGCAGGTGGATCTCTGTGAGTTTGAGGACAGCTTGGTTTACAAAGCGAGTTCCAGGACAGCCTCCAAAACAATACAGAGAAACCCTGTCTCAAAACCAAAACAAACAAACAAACAAAAAATGAAATGGTCTCAGGTATTTGTGTAGTTGTACCCTGCCATGTGAGCTGTCCCCTGGTACTGTTGTTAGCGTGTCTGGGGGAAAGTAATTCTCTGCCTTAATTTTTCTATGGATAGCTATTGCTGGGTTTTCCCTCCCCCTTCTTCTTCCTAGTCCTGAGGAGCAAACCCAGGGTCTTACATGTTCTGGGCAAAGGCTCTACCACTAAGCTGCACCCCAGTCTGTGCATAGCATTTTATACATAGTTTGAGGACCCAGGGGTGATCTTTGCTGTAGTGGGGAACAGGCTTTGTCATCTTGTCACAGTAAGCTGCTCCTAGGAGGTGTTTGTCACTTGTTTGCAACTGTGACAGAGGCCCCTGAGGCTGTCTTCCATGGTGTTCCAGTGAGGTGTTCCAGCGGCTAGGTTTGCATATACTCCTAGTCACAGTCCATTCACTTAAGGAGGTATTTGTGGGCGTAAGAAGTTGCCTAGAAAGCATATTTCCAAGTTTTACTCATCCTTATTAATTTTCATTATAAACTCGCAAATGTGTTTCTAGGGAGAATTTTGGGCCCTAAGATGTAATAAAACCACACTGCAGAATGCAGCCGACCTTATAAAAAGCCCATATTCAAGGGGAAGTTCTCATTCTACATCCCAGATTTGTGTTTGGCTTTTGTGCTCACAGGAGTGTGCATGTGCAAGCCTGGCCCAGCTGCTCAGAAGCTACGGGCCTGACACTGCCCCCCTTCTGCCCCACCCTGAAAAGAGACCCACCAGGCCCTTTTTGAGGTGCACAACTCCTAGAGCAGCTGTAGGAGGCTGAAAGGTTTTAGCAGCGGCTGCTCAGCCCTTGCTGGAGGACGCCCCAATTCGCTCCAATTCGGCAGCCCAAGCATCTTACACAGCAGAAGGGCAGGGACAGAGGGTGCACCGCAGTACAGCATCCCCTCTAGTAGACCGCACAGCCACCAGCACAGGACTGAGCAGTGTGCAGTGAGATCCTGGCAGTTTTCCCAGTCCTGCCCACTGAACTCAGGTCTGGGTTTATGGTTCCCATAATATATGTGTCTTATTTTAAAAGACAAACAACAAAAGCAAAAGCAAAAAAAAAAAAAAAACTCCATCTGGAGACCCAGAATTCCCATTCCAGAAATGGCCTTTGTCGGCTCTCTGCGTTCTCCTCGGTGCCACAGACCATGGTTCCTCTCAGAGCTGTATCCCAGATCTGGTTGTCTGCTGGCCTTTGAAGTGGACTTTTGCTGCTGACGTGGCCTAGTTTGATTTCACAGGTTATGCGATTCCCTGATCAGATGCACAAGACCCAGCATTGAGACCCAAGTGCCAGCTTATCCCATCCCAGTTATCCAGTGTCCTGCGAGATTTGGTGGGAAAGCTTTCATCCTTTGTTTCTCTCCCCAGTGAGAAAATGGCGAGTGAAAAATGCCCTGGGAGCCTTGGGCCAGTGGCAGCTTGAAGTGGGAGAGCCAGTGCTCTCAGGAGCCGGGAGCCTGGGGTCTGAGCTCATCAAGGAAAGTAATGCCAATGTATGTCTGTTTGTCCAGTGTCTTACGGGGACTGGGAGGAGACTTCTGACCCCTCAGGGCAGGGACCATGATTTGTTCACCACCTTATACCCACCATGCCCACCTAGTCACACCAAGTTTGTGTGAACACCAAAAGGGTTTATCTTGGCCATTCCGGGGCAAGGCCTCCCTGTGTGTCACAGCAATAGCGAGTGCTTCAGGTGGGAGCCATGGAGAAGAGCAGAGGGCTTCCTGTCTGGCTCTGGCTGGACCCTGGGGAGGGTGAGGGGCCAACCCTTTGTACCTTTCCCCAAGAATGGTCCTTGATAATGTGGGCATCACAGACATGCCTGTAATGTCAGCACGTGGGGAGATGTAATGTCGGCACGTGGGGAGATGTAATGTCGGCACTTGGGGAGACAGAGTCAGGAGAAGCCGAAATGCAAGATGGTTCTGCTACTTATCGACTCTGAGGCTGACCTGGGCTGACTGGCTTTTCACAGCCCATCTTCATGCGCAAGGACACCAAAACAAGTTTCCAGTGGCGGATTCGAAACCTCCCCTACCCAAAGGATGTCTATAGTGTCTCTGTGGCCCAGAAAGAGCGCTGTGTCATTGTTAGAACGACCAACAAAAAGTGAGTGTCGTGGTGGGCGCTGTTTACTTGTGTATGAGCTCGGGTGGAGTGGGTGAGATCTCAGGTTGCACCTTATCTGGGAGCAGGCTGAACTTAAACTTCAGGGGTGCTGAGAGTGAGTGAGGTAACTGCAGCAGCTGCATCAAGCTAGAGCTCCAGCCAGTTTGGAACCTGGCATGTACTGGGGCTCCCGTGACTATCTGTTGAAGGAAGGAGGGTTTAAGGGAATCACATAACCATTAACTCATGGCCTTTGCAGTTTTACTCTAAGGTTGTTATGTCCTTGACCTGGTGAACTTGGCTTGATGACATCACTGAATTGGCAGGGAGCCATGTCCTGGAAGGCATACCTGCCTGGGTGACCGTTTGAGACTAAAGCATCAGACTGCCGTCACAGTCCTCATCCATCCCTGGGCTAAGGGGAAGTGGGCAGAAGTTTGGCTCTCAGAAACCTCTAGAATTCTGTTTCAGATTTCCTTTGTGATCTGCTGGGAGAAGGCAGTGAATGCTAACGGTTAGGGGTGGCCAGGGTGTGGTCACATTTGGGTTTCTGGTGCTCTGACTGGTCACAGTTGAAGAGTTTGGAAGTAAATCAGTTTCAACCTAAGCTCGAGAGAATACGAGGCCGATTCTAAACTGGGACTTCTTTTGGGGAGATATTTTTAATCTCCTCATCCACAAACTGCCAAACTACCCAGCTTGCTGCTTGGGCTACGGAGCCTAACCCATGGTGCCTGTATACCATTTGCTGTTTCACTGGAGAGCCCCGCCCCCTTCAGGTGGTGTGGAATAGTCTCCCTCAGTCTAAGAGGCCTACCTACATGGAAGCAGGGGAACTCCCTGCCACCTATAGTGCAGCCCTGGGTCCCGCCCTCCTCTTAGCACCCCCACACCCTATCAGTTTGGCAGGGTTAAGGGGACAAGGGAAAGGGTAGAGATGAATGAATTAATTTCAGGATTATTGCTGTACATGCAGCCCGCAGCCCCTGTAGTGGACCCTGTCTATAAATATAAAGTCATAATAATAAGGGTTTGCGTTTATAAAGCACACAGTCCTCAGATAAAAGGCAGTTTATTCCCGTTATTGTTCTCATCATTAACAGGAGTCAGTGCCTAAAGTGGAATTTAGCAATTTCAGACAACAGAGCAATTGCCTGTAGGAAAACAAACTCCGTGCTTCAGCAAGCATTCCCTGGCGTAGGAAGCCCTGGGTCCAAACTGGGAACAAAAGTGCTTCTGATAGCATTTGAATCTGCAGCTTAGCACTTTGTGGACCTGGCTGCTGCCTCCTTTTTGTCCCCCAGAGGTCACTGTGGAATACAGCTATCAGGCAGAAATGTGATTACAAGCGAGTGCTAGAAGAGAGGCTAGCTAGCTCACCAAAAATTTCATCTGAGCCGATCCTCTGGGCCCCATCTCCTGCAGGGCAAGCGTATACCATATATGCCATAGGTGGCGCTGTTGGCCAGGGCCTCTGTGGCTAGTGGGGCATTCTAGCACCCAAGGGCAGGGGTTGGGGACATTTTTGAGATGCTATTAGAGGCAAGGTAGGATGGGAGTGGTACCGCTTCCCACAAAGGGGGAAAATGATATTTTGGTGCCCACTCTGAATCTGAGTTTCTGAGTCCTAACTAGGCTCAGCCAGCCCCCTGCAGGTCCCTCTTGCAGGAAGTAAGGTGGAGAGGCCACCAAACTTAACCAGCCCTTTCCTGTGCCCAGTGGAATTTCTGTCTTCTACTTGGAGAAATATAGTTGCTGCCTGTACTTGCTGCCATCAAACAAAACACAACAGGGTTTTATATGAGCAGAGTTTAATTTCTTTTAGAATACTTTTTAAATCTCTTTTCTGATCATCACACCATTCAGAGGTAGACATGAAGCATATTTATGCTTGTCTATATGTTACTGGTTATAGAAAAGCATATGAAAATGATAAAGTGACATGCAGGGAATAGTGTGGCCTCCTTGCTCATCACCTAAGCATTTGCAGTGCACCCCACCGTGACACTTTTCTTGGATTCCACCTTTCTTCACCTGGAGGTGTGCCCTCATCTTAATATTCTGGACCCCATGGTTCCTGACCAGAGCTACACAGTTGCCTTGTTGGTATCTGCCTGGCTCCTGCAGCACTGGGTTATTCACTCTGCTTGTAAGTTGATTCCAGTGTCTTGTGGTAGTCCTTGACCTCAGGTATTAATAAGAGGAATTGGGAAGATAGAAACCTTTTCTGTGGGATGCTGGTGTGGCACCATCTGGTCCTGAGAAGCATGTTTGTATAATGACGGTTCCACGTCTCAGCCTTGAAGCTGGCAGCTGCAAATAGAATGATGGAGTGTGCTGGACTAAGACGACAGTGGCTGAGATCTAGCCTCTGCCAGGTGTCAGCGGTAGATTCTGGCCAAGTTCTCCTCACTGTGAGAAGCGTGCTTACACTACCTCATAACAGTTTGAGGAATTTGATATCACGTACATGCATACACCCTATACCATGGCCAAGCTGCCAAAGCAAGGGATCTGAAGAAAGCCTGGCTAACTTGGCATTGACAATACTGTAACTTCGGGTTTTATTAGTGTTACTAGACAACCCAACCCCATGCTCGATAACCCCCGACAGTCAGGCTTGGTGGGACTCCCTTTGGTAAGACTCTAAGAACCTTGAGTGTGGGCCTATTCATTGTGACTCTCCAGGCAGCGGGAAGGATCGGTGTCATTGCCACTCTCTGTACCTGCGCCACTCTCAGGGCAGGACTGGCTGGAGACTTCTCTGGATACCTGCCAAGGAGTGTGGGGCAGGGCCCACGCAACTGTCCACAGCAGCCCTGCCCTCTCCTCCATTCACAGTGTGAGGGCTGGCCAGGAACTGGACAGGGGATACAAGTAGAGTCGCTCTGACTTTCCCAGAAGCACAGTGGGTTCCCCTATCCAGGTGCTGGTGGCAAAAACCCTAAGAGGAGTAGGTGAGTGGGGGCGGCTGTGCAGAGGGAAAGGCGAAGCCCTCTACTGGATGTCAGGAGTCTCCAGGAGAGGTTGTTTAACCTCACCTAGTAAACGAAAGCCATCCTATTTCGGACCTGTGCTTTCCCTGGCACTGGCGACCTCCATTCCCTAGCCTGGAGGCAGGAGTAGGGGGAGGGAAGGGGCGAGCCAAACACCTTAAGTTCTCTGTGATCCTGAAGTTGCCTTGGGGGTGTGGGGGTGGGTCTAAGCCCTGAGCTGCTTCTCCTCCATTGGCCCTGCCTGGGGTAGGAGGAGCTTCTCGCCTGGTCCTGCTTTCTGTGTATATTTGCAGGGAAGATGTTAACACTTCCTAACAAGCCTTTGTGTTCACCTAATCTCCGCTGTTTAACCTTTGACCCCCTGCTATTATCAGTGTCTGCCACCTTTGCTAGCCAGACCAGGGCCCCAGGAAAAGCCCTCACTCCGTCTGTTGGCTAGGAAGAGGATGTAGCAGGCATTCCACCCATTGCAGCAGATGGATGGCCTTTCCCTGGGGCAGAGCTTTGGAAAAGAAAGCAACTTGCAGTACCATTAGGATCCCCAGCCCCCACTCCTTTTGAACTGTCAGTCTTTAAATAAACATTCTTTTCCTTCGTTGGGTCCCAGCACCTTGGTGGGGAGAGGGGAACCTGGGAAGAGAGGGGCCCCAGAGCCTCTTCTGAACTGAGGGATTTGGGCAGGGAAGACCAGGCAGAATCTCTGCATTGATGTCAACTCTCTGAGTCCCCAGGGCATCAGGGCTTTTGAAGTGGACTCAGTGTAGCTGTCACCACAAGGGCCAGGTCCCTCTGAAGTATTAAAAGCCCATTCTCTCCAGGCCCTTCTCTTGAGTTTGTTTGTACCTGCCTGAGGCATTTCCCTCCTCAGCCCACACAGCCGCTCCCTCTACAGAAAGTGACTTGTCCAGGTAGGGGCACTAGCAGCTCTTAGCTAGTGCCCAGCCCACATGTCCACTAAGGAAGTTGAGAGGAAGGGCCTTTCTTTAGGCTTTGGTCTACCAAGCATCAGGTGAGGACCAGGCATGAGAAAATCTCTGCCCCAGACTCCACTTTGGTCTAGCAAGCATCAGGTGAGGACCAGGCATGAGAAAATCTCTGCCCCAGACTCCACTGCTAGCAGCTGGCCAGGAAAGCAGGCAGCACCCACTGCATCAGCTGCCTTCACTCTCTGAGATCTGGTTCCATTAGTCTCTTGTCCTCCCAGGAAGACACCTCTTGGGGTGGACTTTCCTTCCTGTCTGGTTTTAGTAGTCAGTCTAATAAGGCCTAGAAAGACACGTAATTGTCACAGTAGGGACAAAAGTGGCCCAATCTTTCAGTGAGGTCTCCTGTAAGTAGTAAACAGCCCTAGACCTCCTGCTGATGTTTGTTAGGATAAACATCCCATTTTCTGTGTCCCCATGAGCCTTGGGATGCTCTTTGGATATCTGGGAGTGCCAGCCCTCTTGGTGAGTCACTCCCTCCCCTGGGCTAATCTCAGAACTCCTTCCTACTAGCTCTGCTCACCTTTAGTTGGCCTGGCCTAAGGCTGCCATCATCCTTTTGACTTCATAACCACAAACTCAAACCAGGCCGTTCTTGTGGGTTCCCCCTTTCCTGTCCAGCTGTATAGAAAGTGGGGGAGTGCTGTGTAGAAACCTTGTGGCAAAGGGCCTGGGTACCCAACAGTGGGGGTTGCCATGCCGGTTCCCCAGTAGCCTCTTGGTGTCCCCACAGGTACTACAAGAAGTTCTCCATTCCTGACCTAGACAGACACCAGCTTCCTCTGGATGATTCTGCACTGAGCTTTGCTCACGCCAACTGTACCCTGATCATCTCTGTAAGATTTGCCCAGACTTGGCATCAGGAAGAGCTTCCTCTTCCTCACCTACTTCCCTGGCTCCAGGCATCCCAAGCCCTAGGTGTGCTTGTTGAAGAACAAGCATCTCTTACCCATCTGGGGGCGGGAAGAAACCAAGAGAGAGTCACACTACCAAGCTGGGGTGGGGCATGACACATAACAGAGGATGAAGAAGTGGTGAAAACAAAAATCACAGGACTTGGGTTCTCATCGTGGGGCTGCTCCTCCCCAGCCACAGGGCCTGAACAGGCCCTTCAGACCTGTACCCTAGGTTTCCTCATGTACAAGGAGGGTATGAAGGGCCAGGTGAGTGAAGGGAGGAGCTAGTACTGAGCTATGCTTTCTCCTTGGTTCCCTCTACAGTATCAGAAGCCAAAGGAGGTCCTGGCGGCTGAGTCAGAGCTACAGAAGGAGCTAAAGAAGGTAAAGACGGCCCACAGCAGTGATGGGGACTGTAAGACCCAGTAGCTGTCCTGAGCCTTGCACCTCCAGTGTGGAGGAAACTGAGACTTGTGGGCTTGGCTCTTCTGGCACGGGCAGCTTCTTCTCGTCTAAGAACTAGCTCTTGGGGCGCAGCGTGTTTCTGCCCACCGTTTTGTTCCTGAGTAAAGTCATTTGGAGTTGTTCTAGAAGGATTGCCCTTTTATCGACTTCTGTATGTTGCCTGTCTCCAGGCATCCTAGCCTTCCTAGGGAAGATGCTGGTGTGGTGACCCACCCCCCTCCCATCCTGGAGACCTTGCCACACAACCGTTCCAGCTAAAGGAGGGAAAAGTAGAGATAGGACCATGCACCTGTAAACTCCCTTGTGCTGGCTTGCCTTATACAAGTGGCTTAGGAAGGACTCACCTGAGGCAGAGGTGAGCACATCAGCAATCTTGGAAAAAACAGAACGTTAAGATGCCATGGTTATTAAAGTGAGCACGGTTACAGGTTATCAAAGGTGTGTGTGTGTGGTGGGTTAAAAAGAAAGGTCACTACTATAGGTGACAGCAGGTTAGCAGCCTCGAGCCCTCCCACAGTCCCTTGTCCACACCCCAAAGAGGTAGGGGAAAAGAAGCCTTTGTTCTTGGGGACAGAGAGCCATGGTTTTATCCTTCCCCCTGTACACATTTCTGAGTTTAAATCTGATTTCTGCCCTCCTGGGGCCTCCTAGAATGACCTAATAACTAAAGAACCAGATGTGTGAACAACCAAATTTTATTTTTACAAAAATGAGAATCACAACACATTTCCCAAGCTGGCCTGATGAATGGCTCGTCCAAAACTCTGAGGAGGTGGTGGCTGGGACCGGCAGAGATTCCAGCAAATGCACCTTCCTAGCTGGGATGCTGGGAGCCCCTTAGCTCACTGTAGGCTGTTGTAGTGCTGTGAAGGGCTTGGGGACAGGGTTGGCCTTGCCATCCAGGCCCTTACTTTGGCCCTATTGTAAACATCTTGAGTTCAGGTCCATTCTCCTAAGACCACAGGTCCTGGCAGGGCCTGCTTCAGTCAGCCCCCAGTGCAGCAGGTGGTGCTTCAGGGCAGCATGGCCACAGGTCTAGGAGCACAGCAGGGCTGGGAAGACAGGGAGGTATCAGTCACTTCACCTGCCAGGCAAGAGAGGTCCCTGAGTAGCTTACTTGCCTAGCTCAAAGGCAGGGGTGGTGTGTCATGGGTTTTGAAAGTCTAGGATGTGGAGATTGTAAGACAGCGCAGCGTAGAGATGCCTGGTGGTGAACCGCAGGCAGTATACAGGACTGCTGAGTGGGGTTGACGTCAGCGGGAAGGCCTGGAAGGGAGGGCACAGTAATGATGAGAGCATTTCAACTGGGAAATGGGGTGCCCCAACTCAGGAGTCCCAGACCCAGTGAAATAGGGACATGTGCCATAGGCACAACCTGGGCCATGTCACCAACTCTGAGACGCAACCCACAATAAGACTCGACGTCCTAGAGGTGTGCACTGGTTGGAACACTTACATGCAGGCAAGCCCTCTGGCGCCTGTCCCACAATCGTACAACACCATAGTAGGAGGAACCTGTGGCCAGCAAGTGGTTGCCATCTGTCTGTAGGCAGTATAAGGTACTGTCATGGGGCTCCTCCCACTCCATGACACATTTCCTGTCCAGGAAGAGAGAGTGATACAAATGGGTTTGGGTGCCCTCCCTCCAGCCCAGCTTCCCCAGGGATGGGCCAGGTTGGGGAGTCCTAATTGCTAGAGTAATGTGAAGCCTGATTCGCCAGCTTCTTCAACAAGCAAAGCTAATGGAGAAGGGCTCTGCTGCAGAGACCTCCTGTGGTCCTCAGGCCACAGAGGCAACACACCCTCATGTGCATTCCCCTGGCAGACCACCCGACATAGGATCCATGAGAGAAGCACATGGGACAGGCCTCGCAAAAGAGGTCTGGGAGGGGATGCCAAGGAACGATTTCCTGCTGACTTGTTGAGGCTCTGAGGAATGTCTGCCTTTCTCGATCTCCCAGGCCACACTGACCAGAGCTGCCTAAGGGTAGCTTGATGCAACCTGAACTTGATGCAACCTTGCTGAGTGTCTCCGTGTCCTGCCCGGGGCCAACCCAGGACTGTGAGTGCCTGCATTGGTACAGGGCTTCTGTGTGTTCTACCCATCTAGCAGACTCACCGGGCACTTGTGCGGAGGTCCCAGTAGCGAACATACGTGTCATAACCACAGGACAGCAGTGTAGAGGGGGACTCATACATGACATCCAGCACCCCAGCCCCTGGGGGAAAATCACTGCCCAGATGTGTGATCAGCTGTCCACTGCGGGAGACAAGAAGGGCAGAAAATGAAAGACTGTCTACCTTGGCCATGCATAGTCTCTCACCCTGCAGATGGCATCAGGTCTTGGGGACACACAGCTCTCCATCACCTGGGGGTGCTCCCTGAAGAAGAGGGCTGAGGGAGAAGATGCCTAGCCACTGAACCTCCAAATAGGAAATTGCCCCCCCCTCCCCCAGTCTCCCAGCCCCTAGCCTCCACAGGGCAAATGTAGCAACCCTCCTCCACCACACCTGCCTGCTCCCTCTGGGGCAATGAATGGGTCTTGCTGAAGGGGTCGGGCCCCCTCCCAAGCACACACTTGTTACTTTACACTCCTTGATCTGGCAGGTCATGCAGCTCTGAGCTGCCTGAGTCCAGTGCCTTAATTCCTGCCTGTAATCTGGGGCTCAAACCTTACTGGGGATAAAGACCACACAAAGGGAGAAAGGGGGGTCCTAGGAGATGTTAAAACAAGTAAACACCTTTGTGTCCAGCGGCAGAAATAGCTGAGAAAGCAGCTTAGTGTGCTGGTCCCTGGTGTTCTCGGTCTCTGGCCCCCAGCCCAGGGCTAGCACGCCTCTGTGATCACAGCCCCCAGCCTGCTGGGCTCCAGCCTGCTCCCCCACCCGTACCCCACCCGGTGGCCGAGACCAGATTACTGAGAAGAACAATTTCTTTGTGACTGTGTAATTCCCTCCGTGACCGCGGCAGTGGGCAGACCTCTCGCCCCATGCCAGACCCCTAGCAACCACGTAGGGGGGCCCCTTGGCCTTAGCAACTGCCCGTCAACATCAAGTGCACCAGCTAATCCTTGTGGCCAGGGAATGGTGGATGTATTGAACTTCTGCAGAATGTGTGCAGGGAATGAGGAGAAGGGGCGCCCTCTGGGCCCAGTGCCTCAGCTTCCTTTCCACGGCCCTCCTCATGGCCTGACAGGAAAGACAAGGCGTGGATGCATCCCAGGGATGCTAGGGCAGGAGGCCTGGGCACAGGGCAAGAGTGGATTTCGTGGACTCAAGATTACAACTTCGGCCTGAGCAGTGTCCCGCCAAGGGCTTGAAGCAGTCTGGGCTGCCAGCCATGTGTCTAAATGTAGACTTCGGGTCCAGGCTGTGCCCATCACTCAGACTCTCACCCAGCCTACTCCCCCCAAAGGCAGCCATCTTAAAAAGCATTGAAGGAGGAGGCTGGGGCTCTCTCTTTACCTATGAGCTTTTCACTGTGAACACTGTGAAGGCCTCCAAGGAACACTACTGCTGTCCACTGAAGGGTTAAGTCCCAAATTGGCACCTGTGTGCCAGCCACCTTCCCAGGGATAGCCTTGATGCATGTAGTGGCCCAGTGTTGGCATCTGTCAGGGCTCCCTGGGTCCATGTGTGTACAGATCACTAGGCCTTGCTCCTAGAGGCCCTGCCTTTCTAGGGCAGCCACCAAGCATGGCAGCCACAGGAGGGGGGCGGGGCCATCTCAGAGGCACACTCGCATTTGTGTACACCAGGTGGGAGCCGTCTCACTCCACAGTTCTCCCGCTCCCTTCCAGATTTGGGGGCCCTGCCCACTCCATTAGCGAGGCTGTAAGGGTGATTGGGCGGGTCCATCTCAGAGGCACACTCGCATTTGTGTACACCAGGTGGGAGCCGTCTCACTCCACAGTTCTCCCGCTCCCTTCCAGATTTGGGGGCCCTGCCCACTCCATTAGCGAGGCTGTAAGGGTGATTGAGGAGTTCTCTCTCCCCTTTAATCTATGGAAGTAATTTCATGTTTGTTTGAAATAGAAGATGAAAGACTGGGTGTAGGGGTGGAGCCCAGGGAGCCCCATCTGCCTGCCCACCCTGTTGCTGGGATCCTGAGAGACTCAGAGCTGGGTGCCCACTGCGGGTGGGTTGGAAGTGAGAGGGCCACATCCACACTGAGCCACCAATCTGGATCCTGTCCACTGTCCGAGTAGCCACGGATACTGCACAACCCAAGAAGTCTGGGTGAGATGCTTGCTGGCCTGAGCCATTTCTGCTTTACTTTCTCTGGGACTCTCAAGTGGCCACACACACACTTTAAACCACCAATAAAAAGATACAGTTTCTTTGGCCTCCAGGTTCAGGCGCCTCAGCTCTGTTGTGCAGCTCTGCAAGGTTAAGTTGAGAGCATCAACTGACACACCAGGCTCTGGGAAGTGGCCTGTGTCTTCTAATAGTCGCCCAGCGGTGCCACAGGAGCCCCGCTGGGGCTTTGATTTGGGAAAACAAACAGAAATGGCACCATGGGCCCTTAGGTTCCCACCCCAGGCCCAATTTAAGTAGAAAACTGTAGCCTAACTGTTGTGATGGAGGGAGAGACGGTTCCAACAATAGCCCTACACGCTGTCTCCTCATCCCCTCCTGTGCTGTTTTTCTCACTGCAAGTGTGTTCTTGTAAAAACGATTAGATTGCAATTTGTATAACGTGGTGACCCCCAAATTCAGACATTTCACCCCTTTTCTCTGGAAAGAATGTTAAGAATGCTTCTCGGCCTCTCACTGTAGGGGGCAGGGGGCGTGTAGAGCCTTGGCTGTCCTACAACTTGTGTGGGAACAGGGCTGCTGCTCAGAGCCCCAGGCCAAGACAGGAGCAAGAACTGGGCTTGTCACTATAGAGAGCCAGACAAAAAAGTCCCTTCCCTTGTAGACAAAGCGTAGGCCTCCAGGAGGTGCTGAGGGCTGGAGACCTCCACACCCTAGGCTCCTGAGCCTGACTCCAGCAATTCTCTCTCCACCCAGGGAAAGATAAAGACAGATGGGGCAGCCTGCAGGGTGAGCCTGATGAATGAGACAGGCTAAGCAGGAGTGCTGAAGGAGGCCTGTTCCCATGGCACAGCCTCTGGTACCAAGGCAGGAAAAAGCAAGGGGAATGGGACCATTTCCCTGAAGAGTCTCTCCTGCTGACCAGGAGGAAGAAAAATTAAATGATGTACTGCCATCAGCCACGATGGCCCAGTTGACACAGGCATTCATTCCCCCACCCTCCATCCTGAACCCTCCAGAGTCTAAACACCATGCCCTGCTTCAGTCTTAGCCCCGTCCTTACATCTTCTGTGGCCCACACACTCAGCACAGGCCTCTTGTACTAGAGTGTTCTGAGGCTCCCAGCCCACACTGACACATGCTGCGTCTCTCACACCATTTTCCATCTACTTTTTAACATTCTGGTGTCTGGTAGTCCCTGGAGTCCTATACATGTACATTCTGCTTCCCTTCAGGTGTCAGGGCGCCTCATCTGGCATGTGCAACCCTGAACTTTAACAGTAGTTTTGAAAGGCTGAAGTATCACAAGCAGTTTATCTCTTCTCTCCAAGGGCAAATGGCCTGTACGTTAAATCAAGCCCAGGGTCACTAAAGAATGCATAATTTTCCATCTTCCCTCCCTCCCTTAACCATTGAGCACCTCTGGCATGCAAGGTACTGTGCTTTCGCAGAAACTACAGGGAGATGCTGTCCAGTGAGAAGTCTAAATTGATACTCCACTAACAATACCGAGAAAAAAAGAACGTTCTGTAAGGGTGAACAGGCAATGTGGGGAAAGGGGAATGAGTGACTCTTTAGTTAATGACAGGACTGTGACTGACAGTAGCAAAGGTGATGAGGCTGTGAGGGGACACAGGTCAGTCTCTGGCTCCTAGCCCTCAGGGACCTGTGGATGCACACATATCCCTACCTGGCAAAAAGTGCTGTGAGGCTTTGGGGCAAAGTAGTAGTCCCAGTCAGCCCTCTGAGTAGTAATAAAAAAGCCAAAGCTACAGAGCAAATATCTTCAAGTCTCATACCAAGAAGACAGAATCCAGGCTGAGCTGCAAGTTCAGTCTGGTGGTACCTGATAGGAATGGAGATGACTGTATTGGTCTCAGGGTGGCAGAGTAGCAGCTACCTTGGTAGCAGCTCACATAGTTGAGCCAAAGACTGGCAGGCACTATACTGCTTCACACATACTGGTTCATGTGGTCCTTATAATAGGCCCGAGGTATCTCTCTCTCTGTTCTTTCCTCCTTTGGTTTTTCAAGACTTGGTTTCTCTGTGAAGTCCTGGCTGTCCTGAAACTTGCTCTGTAGACCAGGTTAGCCCCAAACTCACAGAGATCCGCCTGCCTCTGCCTCCCGAGTGCTGGGACTAAAGCCATACACCACCACCGCCTGGCTAACTTTGTGTTCTTTTAAGCCTCCAATCTACCACTTTTCCCCACAACAATGGAGCGCCAGTACTGTCTGTGTGTGTCTTGGTCTCTCACTGTCCTGTGTGGGTGAGTGGACCCTGTCACATGTCAGGGGACCTGTGGCTGACTGACTTGCCCCATGAGGACAGGAGGGTCAAGCTGGTTGCAAGCCCTGGTCCTGGCCCTGCCCCAGCAGATACAAGGTCCACCTTCAGGCCCTCACTTACATACTTTGCAGGCCTAAGGGACCGATCCTCAATGGGAGTAAAAGAATCAAGGAAACACACTCCAAACTAAAAAAAACATTTCTTAGAAAGGTTGGGGTTGCCACAGTGTGCTTGCATAAGCTGGGGGGGGTGCAATTTAAAGGAGTCTGTTATCTCCTGCCGTGGAGGTTCTGGGGATCAAACTCAAGTTGTCACGCTCAGTGACAAGTACCCTTGCCTACTGAGCCACCTGCCCCCGATTTGAAACATAACAGTGGCAATGTGGGGAGGATGATGGAGGAGGAACAGTGCCCATCACATGCATGTGTGTGAGCGTGCATCCCCTGCAGCACCCACCAGAGCACACGTGTTCAGACACAATGGCTCAGAGGCCAGGCAGCCAGGCAGCCCACTTTGTACTGCTAACAAGGCGACGTAATTACAGGAAAGGGCAGCCGGGCAGATAAAAGGATACAAAATTTCAACATCTGTTGCCATAAAGGGATAAGGAGAAGTGAAACGCAAAGTATCAGTTTGGTGTCAGCAGGCAGAGAGCCAATTTCAAAGAGTTCAGGGGGACAGAGGGGACAAGAAAGCAAAAGCAGAGGGGGAGAA